ACACAATTACGAAATAAACAGAAAACGGCTAAAATTTCCACATACGTTCCTTAAACAAACTCTTTCTTAACTGAACGAAAGTCCATTGGGGGCCTTATACAGTATCTTAATATACATATATCATATCGGCCGATTATGTAAAATATTTGATTATGTAACTAACGCCTGTGAGCATGACCATCGGAATAGGTCAATGTCATTGCGAATAGATCAATGTCATTGCGAATAGGTCAATGTCATTGTGTGTGCATATTACATATTTTCTGACTAATTCACATCAAGTAGCTCATTACGCCTCTTTCTTTTTACACATTTCAACTCAGTATTTATTCCCGTCATTATTACCCCTTTTCGCATCAAAATTATTCTGTCTCCTAAATACACTTAAACATCATCCACCGCATTACGCTGCATCATTACGCCTCATCAACGTGTGTCACCTCATTTAAGCAGTAAAATTAGTCGTAAAGATAAACCGCCTCCGTGGTCGAGGGGTTAGAGTCGATGACTTCTAATCCAGTTACCTCTCTGGCGTGGGTTCGATCCCCGGGAGATGCTTTGGTAGTTTAGCGCGGAGGAAGGTAGTCTAGTACTGGTGTAACTCTCCAGGAACGATGGGTAGGAAACTACCCGCCTATATGACTGAAATACTGTTGGGAAAAGGCGTAAAATGAAACAAACAAACGTAAAGATAAAGCTTAAAATTATTAAATATTTCTTTGAAATAACAAAATAAAATTTATGAATTATGTCAATACTACACTCAATATCGTGTTACATTGCATTTGATTTGTGCCGCGTCACGACAAAACCAACATAGTACGTTTGCGACCAGCATGGATCCATGCTGTTCGCTTTCAGTTTCTCTACTTGTTATAGGGTCTGTAAGCGAACAACATGGATGTTGATCAGACTGCGCGGATGCGCAGCTGGTCTGGATCCATGCTGGTCGCAAACCCATTATGTTGGTTTTGTCGTGACGCGGCTCATTTGTTTTACTAGAACATGTCTGTTATACGTCTCATTAATACACCCTCACTACGGCAGCAACCAAAATCTTTGTCTCCCAAACGGTGCTTTTGTGCAGAGTCTCTACTATAGTTTTTATTATGCATGGAATATGGATTTAATAATGTTAATGACCTAAATAAAAGAGAATGGATGTGGTAGTAAGATGTATAGCCAGACATTGCTACCCCAGGACTAAGTACTAAATGTGCCATTTTTTTCTAATAGTAAAATTGGATTAAAAATCCCTATATAAATTATGCCTATTTAATGGATATTTTATTTAAAAAAACAACTGCGACAGAAATTATGAACTGAATTAAAGAGAGTATTTTTAAGTACTTGTAAGTATTTACAAGTATATTATTAGTTATAAAGATTGTTGACAGGTTATATGGCCATATATAAACGGCTATTTGTAAATATAACTTGATTCTTCATGATATCGACAGCAGCCTTGTATATAAAACTTTATAATACTGCACGTTTGTAACGTCATTTTTCATTGGATAATCATGACGTTTACATAGTTTTGTATACACGGCTGCTGTCGATTCATGAAGAAATCTTACTTTTTTCTCTAAAAATGATGCTTGCTGTATTATAAATTCGTTATAAAGATGGTTGACGACAGGTTATATGGCCGTATATAAAAGGCTGTCCATGACGGGTTTCGAACCCACAATGGTGAGGGGCAAGTGGTTCGAAGTTAGCAAACCCAACAGCTTAATCAAAGAGATTACCACGAAAACAAAATAAACACACAACAAAATCATTTGTTACAACTGTAACATTTTATTCAGATAGCACTCTTGCGTATAGTTGAGTAATTGTCGACAATGTTAATAATACAAAGAGCGAAACGTACCAGTTTTTAGCGAAAGGGGATTTCCACTTATTTCTTTAAAGAAAGTACCATCTGCAAATAATTTAACTTGTGACGTGTAGTGGGTGTTGCTGGTGATATGAGGAATATGATGTACAAATGTTCGGTTGGGATGGAAACTGTTGCTAAGAGTATCTGTCCGAGCTACATCACACTCTAGTTCCACCTAAAATATACATAAAAAACATGTTCCCGACTCTCTTTATGATTCTTGTCGGTCATTAATGAAAATGTATATCTTCCCGATAGGGGTCAGACGTTGTTATTGGGAGATAAATGCATATATTCAACTCAAAACTTTCTGATATGGTACCCTATGAATCTAGCTTATTACGCCTATATATTTCCAGATCCATACACCTAAGCATCTTTTTTGCTCATTACGCCTTATGTACCTCATTACGCCTTATAAAGCTCATAACGTTACATAATCAGTATATCACCATTACGCCTCATTCAGATTATTACTCTCTTTATTAGCTCATTACGCATATATACTAGATTACTTTACATCGTGCATTACCTGTATACCTCCTACACAATCGTCGGATTATCCGTCCCATTATATACTAATTTAATCTCATAACAATAAGTCGTTTTCTTTCTAACATGTGACCCGTTAACATTGAACACAATTGCAATGCTTCATTGCATTAACCATTATCTGTGTATGGTACACATATATATTTTGTAAAACCCGCATAGAAATTAAACAATCATGAAGATATTTGCACACTTGAGAAACATCTAATAGATTTGCGAATAATTTTCTTTATATTTGAAATCATTTCTCCGTCAAAATAAAAGTTTTACCAAATTGCAGCGAAAAAAATGAGGCAAATTATACAAATACTTGCGCTCTTGAAATATTTTATAGATAAGCAAATTAATGTCTTTATATTTGAACTCATTGTTCTGTCTCAATCAGTCGTATATTATGTCTTTTATGACATTCAAATATAATACTCATACATATCTATGTACTATTATTAATGATGTTACAAACCACAAAAGAAGAAAGCAAACTTACTTTACAGGGTCAAGACGATCATATATATTGACCCAAATCCAAAATTTCTTTGCCAATTTTAAAATATAGATCTGTGAATATCATTCTAAAATTAGGATTCAAGAAAATCAGACGGTTTTACATCAACCTCAAAGATGCATATACGGGCCGTGTCATGACAGAACCAACATAATGGGTTTGCGACCAGCATGGATCCAGACAAGTCTGCGCATCCGCGCAGTCTGATTAGGATCCATGCTGTTCGCTATCAGTTTCTCCACTTGTAATAGGGTTTGTAAGCGAACAGCATGTATCCTGATCAGACGGCGCGGATGCGCAGGCTGGTCTGGATCCATGCTGATCGCAAACTCATTATGTTGGTTTTGTCATGACGCGGCTCATTAATTATGTTAAATTACACGATACTTTCAAATCGCTTAAAACAGAAATACGCATACCAGTATATCAGTATTGACTAATTGATTTCTAGTGAAACGTAAATATTGAAGGTCACGCAGACATGACAGGAATGAAAACGACACTTGTTTATGACTTCAGTACATGCAATATATAGTGAAATTCAAAATTAAAATATCAGAAGCAAACTCTTGAGATAACGGCCGATGTGGCAATTAAAGTTCAATTTGAGAAGTTAGTACAGTTCTTAAAGGACGCCAAAAATGTATAGAAACCTCATTTAACTGTGCAATTTTGTTGCACATGTTGAAGCCCATTGATTTCAAGATGGAAATAAACAAAAAGCAACTGTACAATATATTGTTGAGTGACTACTGCACATACTGCTCTAATTTTGCATTGCCTCGTATAAAATATAGTTCTTTGCGTTGGCTTGTTTGATTTAAACTTTATTTAAGTTATTGACGAAGTACGAATCTTGTTTTAGAATCATCAGCTTGTATACCCTGAAAATTGAAAAGCATTCTGGATGAAAAATACTGTATGAGTAACACATTAATATAAAAACAGTGCTTGCTTTTCCGTCGGTAGAATATTCATATAAATTGCATTTAAAGTAGGCGCGGATTCTTATTAAAAATTAAAATGTTAACTATTCATGATACAATTAAGGTGCAATTATTTCTAAAATACATCTAGTTTAATTGAAAATAATACCTTAGAGAGTACAGAATCAAAATTCATTACATCACGAAGGACTTAATGCATTTATGTTTCCCCTTTTTTATTGATAAATGAGCCGCGTCATGACAAAACCAACGTAATGCGTTTGCGACCAGCATGGATCCAGACCAGCCTGCGCATCCGTGCAGTCTGATCAGGATCCATGCTGTTCGCAATCAGTTTCTCTACTTGTTATAAGGTTTGTAAGCGAACATGGATCCTAATCAGACTGCTCGGATGCGCAGGCTTGTCTGGATCCATGCTGGTCGCAAACCCACTATGTTGGTTTTGTCATGACGCGGCTCATATTTCTTTGTTTTACTTGTAATATACAAGTGAGTATCTGAGTTCTTTGTTTTATACAGGCGACAATGTGTATGTTGCGGTTACAATAAACTCTGATGATGTGTATGTGAAGATGCGTCTTCATATATGTGACAAGCTCAGCGATTTTTGGCCCAAATGTGATATTTGGGCGAAAATGAGTTATGACTAGTTTGTGGTAGAACAAAATCTGCTGAATAGCTGGAAACAATTATTTTTAAAAAATACTTGATATTTTATGAAATATTCTAATTTGTATGACATCACCATAACAACAAAAATACATTTTTAACTTTTATTGGTATATACAAATTAGAAATAATTCCATAGTTTTACACATAAAATAAAATAAAAAATTAAGTGATCATTCATCTTAGTGTAATATATGTAATATCTTGATATAAAAACTATCGTTTGTTTTCAAAAAATTGGTTGCCATGGCAACAAAAATATAAAAAAAATCATCAAATGCAATATTTTTGCACTTAACATGATTAATTCATCACCAAATTAATGCATATATTATATTAAAAGACAACAATATTAAAGACTTTTCAGAAAAAAAGGATTTTTCATTTTTCCCTTTAATAGTTATTGATATTAACTTTAAACATAAGTCAGAATTAAATTATCAGAATTACAGTAACTTTTCCATGATTTAGGTTAATATCATAACTTAAGTTAGTCAACTTTAAAATGCACATTTATAACATGATAGCATATAAAATATGAATCCAATGCAAAACAAATATTCTTTAATGCACTGATTGCAAAAATGGTGTATTTTGGTTGCCATGGTAACAAAAAAAATGCAAAAATAACTGAATGATTTAAAATAATTGCATTTTATAAAAAAATATTCCATTTCACAATAACTTCAAAAGTCTTTCAGAAATTTAACCAAAAAAAAATAGAAAGAGCTTGCACTAGTTATGTTCCTGACTAAATTTTCAGTTACAGATATTGACAGTGTAATCATATTCTGATCAGTGTATCTTAAATTGTATAATATGAATAGCATATTAGTATATTTTTAAATTGAAATAATTTCAATGAATTTAAAACAATTACAATAGCAGATTCTTGCAATCACATGGGAAGTCACAAATGACAGCTCACTTATGTCCTTGAATTATAGTCTTGCAACCCCATGTTGAGGGTTTGACCCAAACAGGGTAATAGCAACTATGTCTCCTCATATGCCTTCAGTTTTTGTAAGCAAAAAGTGATTCATATATAAAACTTGCAAAAACTTGTTTCACAATTAAGTAAAAATACTGTAACATCTGCCACTGCAGTATTCAGCTTTTTCAGGGATACTTCTAAAGACAAATTCTATGAGAATGTAATTCACTTTTGGTATACTGTCAAACATAGACAAGTCATTGACTTCTCACATGCCATCCTGAAATAACAAAAACCTGAATATGTATAAATGAAACAATATAGTGTATATGATGATTTGACTACACTATAGTGTATATGATATTTGACTGAACAAAAATGAACTATAAGTAAATTGTTGTAGTGTTGCACAGCTATTGGGTTCATATAAGGTCTTGTTGAATGTTCATCATGTAAGTTCTTGTGTAATATATTACAGTCTATATATAATGTACAAGACTTAGTGGCAGTAACATTCATCTCTTTATTCAAAAGTAAAGAGAATGTGGAATATTGCATAAATATACACGCTTACCCAATTGAAGTGTTTTTTATATTGACCAATACAGTACAGTTGATACAAGTGATTGTCTTTTTTACTCCATAACCCTGGTGCTAAATAGGGCATAGAACTATGTCACACATTGTGCCTCATTTCCAACAATAGTTTAGTATATTCATCAGCAAATAGGTGAACTATCTATGTCTTCTGAAAATTATGTATATATACTTTAAGAACTTAACATTATTGACAGAGAATTTGCATAAAACAATTCAGCATTATTTATAATTATAAACTTAAAATTTAGTTCATGTTACTGTACAGAGTTATTTAATTTTAAAACAATATTTTTAAGATCTCATCTGACATCATATATAAAATGCTAAATTGCAAATAAGTTACATTACTTTCAACTGCAATTCAGGAAATTTATCATTATCATTATTTGATAAAAAGGGTTGAGAATGGTCAGTTTATGATGATTATTTACATATGTATACAATGATTACAATCATAGTAAATCATTTGATCTTTAAACCAAGTATCAAAACACTTACCAGTACATTTCCTTGAAGAATATGGCTCCAACATGCTGGATAATCATATTATCTACTTCAAAACTCTGATGAACTAAGTTGAAGATCTTAAATGTATGTTGGCTGTCAGACCTAAAACAACAACACAAAATATTTCATCAGCAAAAAGTGCTGGCTCATAAATGTTAAAAATATCCTGGTAGCAGGGCTTCTGTTATTAAAGTTTGGGAGTCATTTACTCCTTGATTTTGGCTTCCAAAATGTAATGCTTTTCCTTCTTTACCTACAAAGTGACTTCCAATTACAGACATTTTGCAGTCTTTGACTGCCAATGTTTGGAACTTAATGGAAGCCCTGCTGGTAGAATATGCTATGTGGTATGAGTAATGTGAATATAATATGATTTATTGTAGATACTACCAAAGGCAAAGGGCTAATAATAATAAATGCATTTTAATATTTATCTATGGTGACATCTTCAATCACAGTACTAGATCTATTTATTGTATTTCAAAAGCAGCATGCAGTACAGGGATAACATTTCCTTTACTAAATTGATCTTGAATTGTAATAGAAATTCATTTGTCAATAATTACAGTACTGTAGCCTTGTCATATATTTCCTTTTTTAGAAATATTTTATACAGTATAAATCTACTTGATGTAGATCTATATCAAGCTCATTCATTGTAAACAAATTGCAAAATATATTATGTGTCCAGTTACATTTTTTGTCATAGTGATGTAGAAAAAATACTGTAAACAAAAATGAAGTGGCAACTTTTGTTTTATTTTTTCTTTCATTGCAGCATTGACTTCAATTTATTTTGTAATCAATGTCTAATTTAGAAAAAAGTTAACAATTATTTTATAAAAAGACCATGACAAATACAAATCGAGTACAATTAACAATGTATCCCAAAAAAATTGTCTGTCATGACCTGACCTAGATGCCTGCCATGTTTTTATTTATATAAACCAGTTCAACTTCAAGTGTCATGGTCCCATTTATTTAATTGTTTAAAGTAAAAATACGATGGTTATTCATATCAACATATCAGAAATAAAGTTTCCTTTTAAAAGGAAAGGCTTGCACAGTTGTGCCTTCATCCCAACATATTTAGTTGTTTTTATTTTTGTAAAAACGAATATTTTTGTCAAAACGATTTGAAATATATTCTCTATTGTATACTAACGTGGAGATCTATCTATCATACTGAAAGGAAACAAGAGTGCACATTTCATTTCCACTTCATTACGTGGCACCAATTAATAAGCATGTTCACAGATACGTTGCGCTATCTATAGATCATCACGTACGTTGTAAGGTTAATGATATGCATGGGCTATTTTTAGATTACCTCACCAAGTTCAGTAGATCTAAATATAACTCGATCATGCACTAATATTCTGTGTGATTTGGACCACCCTTTGAAGACGGAATACTACTACAGTCAACATCCTCTATTGTATAAAACTAATACAAACAAAAAACAATTATAAAAGAAACTAACTTTTGCTTCTTGAAAAAGAATTGAAACGGAACAATATCGTTTATAATTTATTACGGTTTAAATCAATAAATCAAGTAAAAATACGAATCCTATTTATATAAACAAACTGGGATTACCGAAGTAACTAAAATAGCTTAGATTTCCGTAATATTACTTCGTCTGATTCCGCAGTATGACAGAATCGCCCCAATCTCATTAAAATCATATCCTAACTGTCGCTTCACTACCCTACGCTCGTAGCGAAGAGTAACGGAGCAAAAACGATGATCTGATTTTAATGAGATTGGAATCGCCCGAATTGTCACGATTACAATCGGAACTACATCGGCTATTATCATTAATCCGAAGAGTGACGGAAAAGGCCGAAAAGTTGCGATTGGCACGATTGCAGCTGGATTCCCGTTCAATCATGCACTTACAAATGTAAGCAGAAAACCACCTAACCGGAACAAGTTTTCCAAATGAAATGGCTTGCAGCCGTGGCTGCAAGCCAAAAATAATGAACAAAAATAGCATAAATAATAAAAGATGCACTTACCTTAATATTTATTTAAACCTCCAAATATGCAGTAACATGACGTAAAAGGTAGTGAATCTACATGTGTTTACTCGCTGACCTGACTCCTGAGTTTACACAGTGTATTTATTCTAAATATAGATTTTTGGGAAATGTTTATCGTGGAAGCTGAGAAGGGCTGTTCAAAAAGTATTTTTTGATTTCTTTCTAGTTTATTTTATTCTTTAAACTTTCAAAGATACTCTGTTTTGAAGGGAAACCCTAAAAATTAAGACATGAAAACTCGCGTGACTTTGCAAGCGTTTTTCTCACAATGATTAAAAACTCAATTGGGCCAAAAATCGCTGAGCGCGTCACATATGTTACACAAAACCTGATCCTAATGCGGATGCAAGAGTAACATATCCTTTAATACAAAACGGGTAAGACCTGTGAAATTCTACAAATTTTAATCTTAATGATGGTACGCTTCTTCATAAAAAGGTTGTCTGATTACTTTTTGAATTATTCATGTGACCGGCCACGCAAAAAGAGCCCTTTTTGGAGTAAACGTCATTCAGCTATAAATGACGTCAAAAAATGTCGTTGCTTTCGGCGCATTTTTCTTTAATATTATATTATTTGTGATATAAACAGTTTCATGAACAAACACAATTTTTCAAGACATGCTTCGCTTTTTATTTGCTTTTTTAGTTGATATGATAAATCACATTCACCCGAACATGTGTTTAAGAACACCTTTCAAATAAGGACCACTCTTTTGATAAAGACCACTCTTTGACAAACGTTCAAAGTGAAAAAGTGACATCCAAATAAAGACCACCCTGTAAATAAAAGCCACCCTTCGCAAACCTTCATTGATTAGATAGAACAAAAGTACCTCCAAATAAAGACAACCTGTGTATAGTGGCCGTGTTTGGTTTTTCCTCTACAGTTCTTGTGTTCACAGGTTTAACTGCATTCTTTATGGACATTATCCGTTTCTTATTATATCTGTTTTTAAGAACATTTTCATTTTTTTTCAGATGTGTGGTAGATCCCGAAACTCATATTTTTTCACAAGGAACACACGAGACCCGGTTTGTCTTCAGTGCATTTGAATTCCCCCAGACTCATAACAGCGTGTATATTTTCTGTAACTCCACGTTCTGTAAGACTACGGACACTAGCGACATGTGCACGCAAATTTGTCACGGCTCACCGTCACTTATGGGACGCTCACTGTGGACATTGGAATCAGAGCGCGAGAAAAAATCAAATTACCTTAATGTATTTCCCTAATACATGTATAAATAAAATGATTAATATAATTGACTTTGTTGAATATACTTTTGGTTAACCTGATTTTATTTTGAAGACCCTGTCGAAGTAGTGAATTCAGGTAAACAGCATCAGTACTTTTTGTAATCCAGAATCATTTTGAACATTTTCTTAGCAGTTTTGGCTCTTTGCTTTTTTATCTTCGGTTAACAAATAAGGAATTCATGTTGCAGTAATATTTCTCACATTAAGTATTTTCTAAGCCAGAATCCATGTATTTGTCATGTGACTACGAAATGTTTCCGTAAACAGACTTTGTCTCGTTGAAATTTCAACTCTTTTTGCCTCCCTATTATCGCCACATAATTATTACGTCTAATTATCAATACTTCAATGACTTTCTTTATTTTTAGCGCTCTAACTCTGCGTTTTATAGCATTTTCTCCTCGACAATATCCGACTATTAAAGACTTAATACAGAATGCCTAAAACTTATTTCAAATAGGGTATAATGAATGTTTTGATTTACAAACATTGTTAAATTGTTATGGTAAAGAAATATTAAACCATTATGTCAAAGTAAAGTAATGAAGCGAAATGATGACAATACGTAAAGACGGTGAGATACAATTACAAGTTATAGGTAACGCCACATCATTACTCATAATATTGCTCGTTACGTCTCACTATTATGCATTTTCCTCGGTAAGGTGGTTAGTTAGAAAAAGGCGTAATGAGCTCGATAGGGTTCACTAAGACCAGGGAGGTTTATAGCATATTGTGTGAAAAAGAGACGTAATTTCAAATAAAGATGTTAATAAGCTACATAGGGTATAGGTAGATAAAAGAGATGAAATCAGGAGGAAAAGTTTATCCATTTTGGTCCTTAATATTGAGTGTTCTTTGATAATCTCGGAAAACACAAATATAAATAAAAACTTGGAGGTTTCAAATTTAGCATACTTATGATGATCACAATGTTAGCAATGTTTGAAAGCAGGAGGCCCTCACTCATGAAAATTTTGAAAATGTATTTAAAGGCACATTATGCTTTAGAAATTAAAACAATTTTCTCTCATCAGATAGGGCAAACATGAGTATTATAACGTTAAAAAAGTGTAATAATCATAAATGAGTTATGAAAGGAAATGACAAATAATGAGGCGTAATATAAAAAAGAAGCGTTATAGTAAATAAATAGGCGTAAAAGGAATAAAGAAGTGTAATATGGATAAAAGGGAGTAATAATGAGTTAAGAAGAGGAATGACAAATAACGAGGCATAATTTGTATAATAAAGCGTAATGGTAAATAAATAGGCGTAAAAGGAATAAAGTAGCGTAATATGGATAAAAGGGAGTAATGATGAGTTAAGAAGGGGAATGACAAATAATGAAGCATAATATGTAAAATGAAGCGTAATGGTAAATAAATAGGCGTAAAAGGAATAAAGTAGTGTAACATGGATAAAAGGGAGTAATAATGAGTTAAGAAGAGGAATGACAAATAATGAAGCATAATATGTAAAATGAAGCGTAATGGTAAATAAATAGGCGTAAAAGGAATAAAGTAGTGTAACATGGATAAAAGGGAGTAATAATGAGTTAAGAAGAGGAATGACAAATAATGAGGCATAATATGTAAAATGAAGCGTAATGGTAAATAAATAGGCGTAAAAGGAATAAAGTAGCGTAATATGGATAAAAGGGAGTAATAATGAGTTAAGAAGGGGAATGACAAATAATGAAGCATAATATGTATAATGAAGCGTAATGGTAAATAAATAGGCGTAAAAGGAATAAAGTAGCGTAATATGGATAAAAGGGAGTAATAATGAGTTAAGAAGGGGAATGACAAATAATGAGGCATAATATGTATAATGAAGCGTAATGGTTAATAAATGGAAGGGGAATGACAAATAATGAGGCATAATATGTATAATGAAGCGTAATGGTAAATAAATAGGCGTAAAAGGAATGAAGTGGCGTAATATGGATAAAAGGGAGTAATAATGAATTAAGAAGAGGAATGACAAATAATGAAGCATAATTTGTATAATGAAGCGTAATGGTAAATAAATAGGCGTAAAAGGAATGAAGTGGCGTAATATGGATAAAAGGGAGTAATAATGAGTTATGAAGGGGAATGACAAATAATGAGGCTTATTACATGCTTTTCGGTGGTTTATAGAAATATATCAGTGATATAAAACGGGTAATTTCACTGTTTTCCATGTTGTTGTTCATAATTAAGATATGAGATTATTGTCAAGAAAGTCATTTCAGATTACACCGATTTATGAAACGTTGAGATGTTTATGTCATGTATGCTGTTTCTAAGATCATGTATTAGTAATGTATATATACGGCATTGTAGATAACAAATCCTAAATGTGAATTTATGTACGTGTTGTTCTTTCTTCCTTCGATTGCCTTTATTATGGGGTATAAATTTTATTTACGTTTGAGCCTAGCGAATTAGGAAATAGCAAAATGTTTGATGATAGGTTTAATAATGAGGTGACACTGATAAGTTTTAGGTGTGATAATATT